CAAAGCTGGGAGGTATTGCCAATTTAGAGAGAGACTGGAATATCATACAGGAAGATTTGGATGACCTTGTAAACTGGAGTAATAGTAATAGGATGAAATTTAATAGTGAGAAGTGTAAGGTTATGCATTTAGAGATTAATAAGAATTTTAGTTATAAGCTGGGGACGATCAATTAGAAGTAACGGAGGAGGAGAAGGACCTTGGAGTATTGGTTGATCATAGGATGATATGAGCCATGTGGTATGGTGTGAAAAAAGCTAAGGGTCTTGGGATGATCAGGCGGGTATTTCCAATAGAGATAAGGAGGTTTTAGTACGTTATACAAGGCACTGGTGAGACCTCACCTAGAATTGTGTGCGCTCCATATTTAAGAAGGATGAATTCAAACTGGAAGGGTACAGAGAAGGGTACCAGGATGATCGAGGAATGGAAAACTGTTTTATAAAAGGAGACTAAGAGCTTGGCTTGTTTAGCCTAACTAAAAGAAGGTTGAGGGGAGATATAGAATCATAGAAATCAGGGTTGGAAGGGACTCAGGGGTCACTAGTCCAAACCTGCTCAAAGCAGGACCAACCCAATTTGCCCCGACCCTAAAGGCCCCCTCAAGGATTGAACCACAACTGGGTTTAGCGCCATGCTCAAACCTGGCTACCCTAGCCTCTATAAAATCAGAGGGAAAATACCAGGGGGAGAATTATTTAAGCTTAGACCAATGTGAACACAGAACAAAGGAATAAACTAGCATTGGGAGTTTAGACTTGAAATTAGACGAGTTCTAACCATCAGGGGTGAATTTGGAATAGTCCAAGGGAGCGGGGGCAAAGATGGCTTTAAGATTAAACTCAATAAATTTATGGAGGCGATGGTATGATGCAATAACATGTTTTTGGTAATTAATTGATCTTTAAATATTCATGGTAAATAGGCCCAGTGGCCTGTGATGGGATGTTAGACGGGGTGGGATCTGAGTTATGGCAGAAAATTCTTCCCTGGGTATCTGGCTGGTGAATCTTACCCATCTGCTGATCGCCATATTTGGGGTCGGGAAGGAATTTTCCTCCAGGGCAGATTGGAAGAGGCCCTGGAGATTTTTCGCCTTCCTCTGTAGCATGGGGCACGGGTCACTTGCTGGAGGATTCTCTGCTCCTTGAAGTCTTTAAACCACGATTTGAGGACTTCAATAGCTCAGACATAGGTGAGAGGTTTTTCGTAGGAGTGGGTGGGTGACATTCTGTGGCCTGCATTGTGCAGGAGGTCAGACTAGATTATCCTAATGATCCCTTCTGACCTTAATATCTATGAATTTGCTTGTCCAGTCTGATCTGCCAATATCCAGATTTAGCTTCTAGTACATTGAATACACTTCCTGCGGATAGTTTGTGAGTGATGTCATTTAGGATTGTAGGCTGTAGTGTTCCTGCATTATTGCTTTGGTCAGATCTTGCATGTCTGTGCTAACCTGGATCACCCAAGTGTTTTTTTCTTTTCTACTGCAACCATCAACCTAACCCAGTCTGAAGGATTCTCCTCCTTTTCAATTATATCCAGCAGTTCCATATGCTGAAGTTCCTTCTTCACTTTGGACCTTATGGTTAATGGCAGTCACCATGATGCATGCACTACTGGAACTGCATTTGTAGATAGATTAATTGTACAATATCCTGGTAGACATCCTTTGTCTTCAAACACATCAGGAAATCTTTTCTTAATTTCCTCTGCTTTGAGAGGTCCTTGTATGGATTCCACTGACATTAGGATTTTTATCAGGTGTAATGATTTTAAAACTGTCACTCCTAATACTGGTTTTTCTGGTATATTTAATATATAGAACTCTAGATTCTGACATTTTTTCCTTGTACTTGCATTTAACATTCCATATTCCCACTATGTGGAGTGGATGCCCTTCAGATACTGCTAGTTGCACGGACACAGGTAATGTTAGTGTCATAGTGGTTCCTAAATTCTTCTGACATTCTATCTCAGGGATGAGGTTTACTTGAATCCCAGCGTCAATTTTCAATTTCATGTCTATTTCTCCTAGACTTATTAAAATAGTTACATATGCTTCAACATTAGAGCCCCAGGAAAATCTTATTTTTTATAATTATAATTTCATTTTTGGGCATTTCTTGTTATTTTGTTTTATCCATCCCGCCCCACTCCCAAGGCATTCAGACCCTGCTCAGGGTGGGGGGGGGGGAAGAGAGGGGGCGGTCTGAGGCAGGTTGGGTCTTGGTCCCAGGCGGCGGGGTGTGGTAGGCCTCATGGTGAAGGGGGGTGAAGAATGAGCCTGCCCTGTCTCATGGGGACCCTGATGGGGTCTCCGCTCTAGGCATTGTGACCTGTCACATGGGGTCACAGCATTTCTCAGGTTTGGCATCGCCTCCCCTCTGTCATGATGATGGGAGGTAGCCAGGCCAAAGCTGAGTGAGTGGCTTTGTGACCCTGCATGCCAGGTGCCAGTCTCTATTAATCACTATCCTAGTTCTTATTCTGTATTGTAGCCCAAAAGCACACTGTGTCCTTGTGAAACTCCTCTCCCATGGAGGTATTCTCCAATTTCATGCATTGTATGCCCTGTGCTTTTCTGTTTGCCAGTGTGGTATGTTGGTGAAAAGTGGTGTGTTTTGTGGTACTTCGTCAATATCTTCCCTACTGCTTTGCATGATGCAAGCTACATCTGTGGCAACCCTGTTTTGTCCCTGCCTTTGCTACAAGCTTGTCTTGCATGGATACAACATTTAAGCTGTTCCACTTTGTATAAATAATTAAATATTAATTAGAGCAGGGACCCATGTTCCCTCTAATTTTTGACAGGCCATGTGTGCAAAAAATTTCTTCTGTGCAAATTTTTGTGTGTGCGATGTTTCGCCATGTGCATGGGGTTTAGGGTCTGTGTGCATGTGCACAGCTTAAAGGGAACAGTGGCAAGGACTTGACCTTGGTTCTTCCATATTCCAGGTGAATGCCCTAGATACTGAATTATAGAATCAATCTCTCTCTCTCTTTCCTTCTTTGGCTTCATTGGCAAGATACGTGGGGGAATGCCTAGTTTGAGAATCCCAGGTAGGTGCAGGTGTGTGCTAGGGAGAGAAATGGCTCAGCAGTGTCAGGAATTGAGCAGCTTTGTGTATGCCCGCTGGCAGAAACTTAACCACCTAAAAAACTTAACTGGTAGAAACTTAGGTACCGAGGGAATGTAGGCACCTACAGTGTTAGGTGGCAGCTGGGTGGGGGTTTTGAGTCTCTCGATGGTGCTTAAATGTTGGATTTAGGCACCTAAAGTGGCAGTTAGGCATTTAAGTCATTTTGTGGACCTAGCTGCAAGTACTTAACATTATGGAGCTGGAAATTTTGGGGACTACCACAGTACAAATAATAGTGATAACAAGTGGCCTGACACCAGTTTTATCCTTGTCAAGATCTCAACAGAGCTGTTCCCTGACTCAAGAATGGCATAAGAGGCACAGGCATCAGGCCATCCAAACTGAATTGCACTACCCCAGGCCTTAGATGTTTCTGCAATAGCCAAGCAGTTCCAGGGTGTCACTGCAAAGTAACATATCCTGCAGGGAGAGGAAATGGAATTTGTGCTGTTTCTGCTGTGAGGCTCCTGCCACTTTAAAGCCAGCCCAATAGAATGTGGGGCTCTGGGTTCTGTCAGGGGCAGTTGGGACCAGGCTCCAGCTGGGTTGTTACATCTGCTCCGTTTTAATTTGTTTGGATTCAGCCATTAGTTTTCTGGGACACAGACTCAACAGAACCATAGCAGAGAGGCTGAGGGGCTTGGATTCCTTTGTGGAGAGGCGAAGTCTAGGAGGCAACGGAGACAATGCTGACAGGGCATATGTTGTGACTAGAATTGAATGAATAATTTGTAACAGATAAAGTATTCAGTAAATTTTGCGTCTTTCTATTCACAGATTGGTGAATTTTCTAATTTTTACCTCAAATTGCCTTCGGTCTATTGTTTGATATTCAAAATTTGAGAAATGATACGGTTCCCTATTTTGGTAAGTGTGACTCTGCTTTTCAGATTTAAAATTTGAGCTTAATTTGAAATTTGAACTATAAATTCCCAGGAGCTTTTGGACTAGTCAAAATCAATCAGCTGAATGTTTGTGGGAAGTGAACACAAGAAACACAAACACATCCAAAGAGAATTTAAGAATGTAAACAGATATTCCTGATAATTTTTTGCAGTATTTGCCCAGCTCTCAGGGTGGCATTGTCTCTCTGTCATGCTGTATCCCGATGTGCCAAACATGGAGATTCTGATTCAGTCTGGACTCAGTCACTTTTGCACTGTCTCAACAGGAGTTTGCCTAGTAAGGAATGACTAAAAGCAAAATAAGGAGTTTGGTTTATACCAAGCCAAGGACTAACCAACAGTCTATATTTAGGAATTTTTCCTGACTAAGGAGGTGGTTGCAGTATGAGTTGAGGCTGGATCAAAGGAACTGTCCCTCCCTATGCCCTTGGGAAGTGGCAACAGAGTTGGAAGTTCTGACTAAGATGGTAGAACAGGAGATATATTAGGATATTCTACTTATGGTACTTAAATGTTCCCCATTATTGTAGAATCAGAGCACCGTACACTCTTTAATGTATTTATCCACATAAAAATCTTATTATCCCTATTTGTTATTTCCCTGTTTGTTTGCAGATGCGGAACTGAGGCACAAACAAACAATCTAAATAATTTCCTTGAACTCATGCAGAAAATCTGTGGTGGAAAAAGTAATTGCATCAAGGCCTTCTAAGTCCCTGCGTAATGGCTTAACCACAGAGCCATCCATCCTTTCTACTTCAAACAGGCTACTGCCCCTTACATTGTGTCTTCAGAGAAAGGCTGTTTAAGGAGCTGATTCTTCGTGTGACAATCAGGGTTATTAAATTCTCCTATTTCAATTCCTGGCAGGATTGGTTGGTGATTCTGAGGATCCCAGGAGGTTATTTCAATCTTGTAGATTCCTAAATCCATTTTAGTGGTTGGAATAATGGATTCCCTAATCGATGGGGACAATGAAAAGGATGACATCCAAAATGCACCTCAGTCCCTGGGAAGCTTTGTGAGTCAGGGTAGGTGTGCTGCTCTGATGAGTGATGTGAGTTAGGAGTGGTCCCTTTAATGTAACATTCTGTGACATCCAGAGGCTACTGAATGGCTGAGGCTGCCGTCAGTGTCCAGAAAATGAACTGGGATAGAGGCTCTCTTTCCCATTTCTCTTTTTTTTTTTTTTTTTGCATGTGGATTTGATGCTGGTAAAGGTGCTGGCTGACAGCTCTACAGGTCGTTTACATACGGAGCAATTATGGCACATCAGCAACATTGCAAGATTCACACATATTGTGTGTTGCCATTGCATTTCACTCCTGCTCTGGAGGGCCCTTTCAGAGTTTGGGTTCTCTGCTGTACCTGCCAGCAATCGAGGCTGGGTGATTAGTTCCATTTTTTTGTGATGTTGACCCCTGCTCATTTGGAACTGGACTGAGACCCATCAAACTAATTCCCAACAGAGGCCACCAATTGGCTATTAGATCTGAATGACTCTTGGTTCCTCATCAGTTCATTTGCCCTGAGATAAGGTACTAGTCATTAAATACTTCTAGTAGAAGATGTCATTTCTTTCTACCTGCATGCTTCTGATCAAGGATTTGTCTTTCCCACTCCTGCAGGTTTAAAACAGATGTACCTTGACCAGCTGTTCTGTGATGCTACACTGGTGGTTGAAGGAAGGAGGTTTCCCTGTCACAGGTGGGTTTCTGCTCCATGCTGCATTCAACATGCTAGTAGCTTCTGGATATAAGAACCAGAAACTACATACTGTTGAAACAGGACAAGAAGTTATTTACTTGGGTGAAGCAACCTAGTCTAGTATACAGAACGCATAGCACCATGAAAAGACTTAATAATAGGAGACTATCTAATTTGTATAAATGGCACCTTTCATCATAAAAGATCCTACAGGGAACATTTCACCTAGAAATGAAATGCAGCCGACAGGTGCAAAACACATGGTAAAACTCTAGTGGGGAGTTAGAATCATAGAATCATAGAATATAAGGGTTGGAAGGGACCCCAGAAGGTCATCTAGTCCAACCCCCTGCTCGAAGCAGGACCAATTCCCAGTTAAATCATCCCAGCCAGGGTTTTGTCAAGCCTGACCTTAAAAACCTCTAAGGAAGGAGATTCTACCACCTCCCTAGGTAACGCATTCCAGTGTTTCACCACCCTCTTAGTGAAAAAGTTTTTCCTAATATCCAATCTAAACCTCCCCCACTGCAGCTTGAGACCATTACTCCTCGTTCTGTCATCTGATACCATTGAGAACAGTCTAGAGCCATCCTCTTTGGAACCCCCTTTCAGGTAGTTGAAAGCAGCTATCAAATCCCCCCTCATTCTTCTCTTCTGCAGGCTAAACAATCCGAGCTCCCTCAGCCTCTCCTCATAAGTCATGTGTTCCAGACCCCTAATCATTTTTGTTGCCCTTCGCTGGACTCTCTCCAATTTATCCACATCCTTCTTGAAGTGTGGGGCCCAAAACTGGACACAGTACTCCAGATGAGGCCTCACCAATGTCGAATAGAGGGGAACGATCACGTCCCTCGATCTGCTCGCTATGCCCCTACTTATACATCCCAAAATGCCATTGGCCTTCTTGGCAACAAGGGCACACTGCTGACTCATATCCAGCTTCTCGTCCACTGTCACCCCTAGGTCCTTTTCCGCAGAACTGCTGCCTAGCCATTCGGTCCCTAGTCTGTAGCTGTGCATTGGGTTCTTCCGTCCTAAGTGCAGGACCCTGCACTTATCCTTATTGAACCTCATCAGATTTCTTTTGGCCCAATCCTCCAATTTGTCTAGGTCCTTCTGTATCCTCTCTCTCCCCTCCAGCGTATCTACCACTCCTCCCAGTTTAGTATCATCCGCAAATTTGCTGAGAGTGCAATCCACACCATCCTCCAGATCATTTATGAAGATATTGAACAAAACCGGCCCCAGAACCGACCCTTGGGGCACTCCACTTGATACCGGCTGCCAACTAGACATGGAGCCATTGATAACTACCCGTTGAGCCCGACCATCTAGCCAGCTTTCTACCCACCTTGTAGTGCATTCATCCAGCCCATACTTCCTTAACTTGCTGACAAGAATACTGTGGGAGACCGTGTCAAAAGCTTTGCTAAAGTCAAGAAACAATACATCCACTGTTAACTTAGGGTGCTGCAGGATATGGTGTAGGTTATCTCAGAGATCTCCCATCTAAATACTAAACAAGCTCCTCCCCCGACCCACCGCTTAACTAGGAGAGAGCTGATGAGATCAGAGCTCCCAGCTGCCAATACCACATGGAATCTCTTAGCATGGTTGCCTCTCTTGCTGCAGGGTGCTGTTGGCCTCAGTCAGCCCATACTTCCGGGTCATGTTCACCAGCTCCTTCAAAGAGTCCCAGGACGGGGAAGTTTTGCTCAAGGCTATAGCCCCCTCCATCATCCAAAGCGTGCTGAATTATCTCTATTTAGAGGAGATATCACTTAATGCAGAGACTGCTGAAGAGTTATTTATCGCATCCAGTAGACTCCAGATCCTCCCACTAGAGGAGATCATTAGCAGGTAATGCTCAATGACCTCACTGGTCTCCTCCTTGTACGTAGGGTGGTTATGATATAAGATTGTGTGTGTCTGTCTGTATGTGCTGTTTGGGTATAGATTGGCTGCATTATTTATGTATTGGGGAAACATCTCACAGCTGCAACACAAGCATTTCAATAAAATGTAATTTAAAAATCAACATATCTGGCCAGATTCCTGCATAAACATTTTGAAAAATTCTGTTGTAGAGAAGCTGAATGACCCAGGGATAAGAATATCGTATCAAAGAGGATTTGACTTCTAGGTTGTTGAGTCAAATTCAGTTCTGAGTAGAATGTACAAAACACCAGAACAATTAGACCAGTTTTCAGTTAAGCAGAAGAGAAACCAAGGACTGCATGTGCTGTAAAATCTGGAAGGGCTCTATCCAAAGACTGGTTGAAGCACCCTGGAAAAGGGCAGTAAATGTGACCTGCCCCTTCCCGTGTTGTATAAAGTTTATAGATTAAATACAGGGTGTCCACCCCTAGGGTTTTCAATCTGGTATCAGCAGGACATTAACATAAAATAGTCAAGGATGCCCTGCCTGTTTTCCTCGCAGTTTAAAGGAACTTTGTCTTTCCCCAAAATCTCATGAGATCATGTTATACAGTGTGTAAGCATGGGCAGCTAGCGCCTGGCACGATGCCTTCTGCCTGAGGCCCCGCCGCCTCCCTCCCCTACTTCTTCCACTCCCCCTCCTCCACCGGAGCACCAACCCTCCCTGGCAGCTGCCTGCCCGCATTCCCTAGCCCAGGGCCGTCCCACCCCAGTGCCCCCAGGCCTGGAGCACTGGCCATGCTGAACACAGGGAGGCACAGTGCCCCCCAGCCCCAGAGTGCTGCGCATCATGGCTCCAGCAGCACCCAGGCGCCTCCCTAGTGCTGGATGGCCCCATCTGCCTCAAGTCCCAGCCACAGGCTGGCCCATCCCAGCCCAATTCTGAGAAGAGAAGCAGCCTGCCTGGGCAGGGGCCAAAGGGGACGTGGCAAGCAGGAGGGGGCCTTGGGGCAGAGTGTGGGCAGGGCCGTGTGGGGCTGTTTGTGGAGGCTTAGCCTCCCCTGGCCTGCAATATCTGCCACTTGTGTGTGTCGAGAAAGGTGGGCAGTGAAGAACCACTCTTATAAATTATCCCAAGTGAAACAATTTGTTCTAGAAGATGAGGAACTATTTATGTCCAGTCCAATAGAAGCTTGTGTGGTTTGGGAGAGGTCATGTAGTCTAATAAGGGAAGGTATTAGGTGTAGGACTCCTGGGTTCTATACTTAGCTTTGCTACTGCTACCCTTTGTAACCTGGTTAGGTCACTTCCCCCTCCGTATGTCAGTTTATCATATGAAAGAATGCTTATACTAACAGTGACAGACTTCATGGAGGAGTTGTGAGATTTGATGAATAAATATTTGTTCTTGAGTTTCCAAGGGTACTGCAGAAAGGCAAAAAGTATTATTTGTGCAGTATCAGATATCAAGACAGCTAGCAACCCAGAGTCATACATAGAGAGCTGGGTGAAATATTTTTGACAAATACTTTATTCTCCAAAAAATAAACTTGGGTTGACCAAAAACTATTCACAAATTTCATAAGAATTCCACTTTTGTAAGTAATAAAATAGTCATCTGAACAGGGAAGTGGAATCCAGGTCTCCCACATCTAAGGAGAGTGCCCTAAGCACTGAACTAATAGAATCATTCTGCTTCGGTCTCTGGCCCAATGACTATTCCGTTATTGATATACAGTGGCTCAACTTCAACAGGAGAGAATGAATGAGAGGTACCCACCCCAGATACTGTATAGCTGGATGGTTAGGATTCTCTCCAGAGAGGTGGGAAACCCAACTGCTCTAGTGACTATTTAATTATTTATACAAGGTGGAACAGCTTCAACAGGAGAGACTGAGCGAACCCTGCCCCAAAGCATCCCACAGCCCAATGGCTATAGCACCCTCCCGAGACAGAGGTGATAGAGTTTTCTGTCCAGGATCAAATCCTTCCCAGAAGAAGAAGAACATAGCTTGGGTGAGTGCCCTAACCCCTAGGCTGAAAGTTAGACAGGAGCTGCCTCCATCTCCCAACATTTTGCGAATCTAGCCCAGGATGAAAGAAACATTTTGTTCAACCAAACCAAAATGTTCAACTTTTTTGATTCACTGCAATTTTCAGATTTTGTGTTTTGGTTCAACCTAATGCAATTTTAAATGTTATTTTTAGAACTGCCAGTTCCAAATAATCAATCACCATGCCCTACACAGGGACAACCAATTCTCTGACACAATCAGGAGACTGAACTTTCCTGGGAGCTCCTCAGCGACATTTATTCCCTTTGTTATTTCTTCCAGATTCTTTGTGAAGAATATTTCCATGGAGAACTGCCTTGGGATTTATGCACTGGCTTATGCCCACAACCACAAAGATCTGCTTCATACAGCCATGCACCACATCAGCTTGAATTTTGGGTCCATCTCTGAGGACTATGATTTCATGTGTCTGGACCTCAGCACTTTGACCAGCATCATCTCCTCGGATGACCTTGTAGTGGCCTCTGAACTGGTTGTCTACCAGGCTGTGCAACGCTGGGTGAGGTTTCAACCAGCCGAGCGCCTCCCAATGCTTTCTGTGCTCATGAGGCACATCCGCCTTCCTTTCCTGACCCGTGAAGCACTTGCAGAGATCCAGGCAGACTCAGAACTTTATGGGGATGTTCAGATGTGGTGGAAACAACTGGTTGGGGAAGAAAGGCTGTGGGAGAGTGAGGGACTCAGGCAGGGTATGTATGATGAGTGTATTGTGTGCATGGAGCTGCACAGGTACAGGATTCAACATGTGGAGAATGACTATTCAGAGTTTGACATTCATTCTGACTTGCTTTCTGGAATGGATTGTTTTGATCCTTATACAGGAAGGTGGAAAAAGCTGCCAGGTTTGAAATGCCTGCAACATCCTGCCAGCACATCTGTGGAGCACAAACTTTACCTGTCTGGAGGCAAAAACAGAGATGGCTCTTGTTCAGACATTCTTTATGAATACAATTCTTTTACTGGCCAATGGATACAGCTCCCCTCCATGTCTGTGCCCCGGGATTCACATGGCTTTCTAGCCTGTAACTTGAAGCTGTATGCTCTTGGGGGACGGAATGACAGACATGGACTCACTTCTGCTGAGAGCTTTGACTTGGTGCAGAAGGCATGGACTCCCATCTCCAACTTGCCATTTCGGCTGATATATTTTGCTTCCACAGTGCTGAAGAATAAGTTGTACCTAATAGGTGGAGAAGCTTTGGCAGTAGTACCTAAGCTAGTTTATAGCGGCATTCTGATCTATGACATTAACTTAGATGTGTGGACTCAGATGCCTCTGGATTTTAAGTGCTATGAAACAGCTGCTATCTCCATGGATAATAGGATCTGTGTTATTGGTGGGTTCTGTGAAGAAAAAGGTAGACAGCTGACTCCAAGAGGCACTACAGAAGTCTTTCTGTCCAGTAGAAAATGTTTTTACCTCAACGAAGATGGCAAAGTGTGTCAGGAAGTTGTGATTCCAGAATTACCAGAAACATTTGCCTTTGCTGGTGTGGTTTGTTGGCAGAGGAGAATCTACTTGATGGGTGGTGTAAATTATTATCGATTATGCAGCAGGATTTTCTACTGGGAACCAGGTGATTCTAGCTGGACTGAGTGCCAGGAACGTGTTCCAAGTATAGAGGGGTTTATCAGAATATTTAAATGTGTGACACTGAAGATACCAAAAAATACATTCTGCCCCTTCTCCAAGAAATATCAGTAACCCCACTACCATCAGAGTTATAGATTGCCGCTTTTCAGACACTTGCTAGAGCCTGACCCCTTCACAGTGCAACTAGCATTGAAATATCCCCTCCAGGAGAACTCTCTCTGTCCCTAAACATCAGTTTACCTCACTCATGCTCACCTGGAAATCAGTGATAGTTTTAAGATTGACTTCAGTGGGATCAGAATATGTTCCAGAATATGAATTCAAATGGGTGGCATTCGAGATAGATTCTTGGTTCACACAAGGAGCTGGTTTAAATTCAGTCTCAGCATCACTTTGCTTATAACCATTTTAATACTTCTAGACATTAGTTAAAGGGCATAAATCCTTTTCTCCTCGTTCCTTTTCCTGTCTATTGCTCTCTTCCTTTTACCTAGCTATTGAGATTAAATCCACTGGAACAAATTTCTCCCTAGGGTAACATCACTGGAGTCAGGCAGGGCCGGCTTTAGGAAGTGCGGGGCCTGATTTGGTGGTGCTCCAGGTCTTCGGCGACACTTCGGCAGCTGGTCCTTCACTCGCTCCGGGTCTCTGGCAGCACTCTGAAGACCCAGAGCGAGGCCCTCTTAGGTGCCGGTGCAGAGCCCTCTTAGGCGTGGGGCGCAATTCGGGGAAATTGGCCTAAAGCCAGCCCTGGAGTCAGGGGTAAATTTGGCTCATTGTATTCAGCTGGAGAATAGTTTTGTTCCCCATATCAATGTGGCTGTGTTTCAAAATAGTTGTTTATGGTGGTTGCTTGGTGAAGCTTGCAAACTGTTGCTCTCATGGATTATTGTAAACAGTAAGATCTTATTAAAGCCCTTTCCTTGTAATGGTCAGACATGAGTTCTCTCTCACAGCAGGTGTCTTTCCTCAATGATAAAGCTGAATAAAGAAAATGTTATTAAAAATCATTTTAATATGGTCTTTGTTTTGGTAATAAAATATGAAGATTTTCACTTCCAGCCTATTCAATTATTCAAACCCAACCCTAGTCATTACCCAATTGAAAGTAAGTACCATTTAGTGACTTCTCTGTAAAGAGTCACAACAACATGTCAGTGTAGTTCCTAGTGGGCAGGAAAGACCAATAATTTCATGGGTCACTCTATTGTCAAGCTAAGCAGAGAGGCTATTAACTGAATCACTCACAGAATCATGGAATCATAGAAATGTAAGGCTGGAAGAGACCTTGAGAATCCATTAAGTAAGTCCAAACCCCTGCACCGTGGCAGTACCAAGGAAACCTCAGCCGTCCTCGACAGATGTTTCTCCAACTTGTTTTTAAAAGCTTCCACTGATGGATGCCCGTGTCTCCTCATTTACTTAACCATGCCGATGTTTAAGACATGCAGTACCTCATTCTCATAGTAGTCTATGCACCAACAGAGGAATCTGTTGTCTCAGATAAAGATCAAAATTGGAACATCTAGTATGCACATGATATCATGATCCTGGGTGACCCTGTGAACTGGGTTTGAACAGGTCATTGGTCATTATGGTTCAGGGACACCCAATGATAACACTCGCTGGTTGCTTACATTCCGTGCCTCCCAGAATCTTTCCATTCTTGGGTCATGGTTCAAGTGGCGATGCATACAGCAGATGTCATGGATCTCTCACGATGGTGTCACTTAGAAGGAGTTGGACCACATTGTTACATACAATAGGTGTCTCTTCGCCTCCTGTAGAGTATATCATGGTGCAGAATGAGCAGGAAACATAGATCACCATCTAGTGGTCGCCCTTATGGCGTTGATGCTCCAGTGAGCATGTTAGCCCTCTGGGATGTTGAAGAAATTTGACATCGATGCACTCCATGTGCCAGGTTTAACCAACAGGTTTTGTATTGACGTCAGCAACAGATTCTCAGTTCTAAATAATCTGCCAGATGATGTGGAGGTTGCCTGTTCTCTGTTCACATCTACCCTCAACCAATCTGCTGAGCAGATGATTGGCTATAGGCATCCAGAACACTGACCATGGCTATCAGAGAAGAACTTCCAGATAATTAAATTGAAGGCCGCAGCCTGCCAGCATGGTGATAAGTACATTCATAATCGGCTGAAGTGAAAATTTAACACCCTGACACTCCGCGATCATGAAGCATATTATAACCAAGTGGTGGATGATGTCGAATTTGGCTTAGCCAGGGGCAACTTGAAGCCAGCATTCCGCACCATTTGACTTGAAGCCAGCATTCAGTGGTCAAGAGGTAGTCACTACAAACAACATCCTAAACGACAGCCAAGGTCATCCATGTAAATCGGATGTTGATATTCTCTCACTTTGGGTGGAACATTATCACAGTGTTGTGAACCATCCTCCAGCTGCCACTTGTTCAGAGATGGATGATCTGGCAGTCACTGTGATTCTGGATCCAGACATTTCCACCGATGCACCAACAGTGGATGAAGTGAAGTGCACCATCTCTAAACTAAAAAACAGATGTGCAGTCAGTGCTGATGGCATCCCCGCAGAGCTGCTAAAATGTGCTATTGATCCTGTAGCTGAATCACTTCTGGCCATCTTTCATCTGGTGTGGAGAACCTGAACCCTGCCAACCGCCTGGAAGGACGGTATTGTGATCTCACTCTGTAAGGGCAAGGGACCGCGCAGTGAATGTAAGAGCTACAGGCCAATCACCCTGCTCTCCATTCCAGTGAAGGTGTTGTGTATGTTTTGCTGGCATGCCAGGAGCCTGTGCTACATCAGAAATGTCATTCCTAATAGTCAGGCTTTACAAGGAACAGGTCCATATTAGACATCATTTTGGCCCTTTGCTTGTTGTCGGATATACGTCACGAGTTCAGGAAGCCCCTGCCTGTAGCGTATGTTGATCTTAAGGCTGCATTTGATTCAGTAGACAGTGTCACATTATGGAAGGCCTTAAACTGCATAGGTATCTTTACCACTCTGCTGGACTTGATGAGAGAGCTATATAATGGAACCACTGCCCCATGTTAGTCTGGGAACCAGATGTCAGTGCCTTTTAAATCAGTATCTGGTGTTAGGCAGGGTTGTGTTCTGGTCCCTGCACTCTTTTGTCGGGCAATGGATTTCATAATGCAGCATTCCATCAGGTCCATAGGCATTGAGATCAGTGATCTCTCACTCACAGACCTTGACTACGCTGATGATGTTGTTCTTTTAGTACAGAGCCCCAACAGGTTTCATGAGGCACTCCAGCATATGGAGGAGGAGTCAGTGAAGATTGGTCTCCATGTTTCATGGTCAAAGACAGAACTGCAAAATCTAGGACCAGGTCTACCTGCAACTCCAATCTCTTTGAACCAAAAAACCGTCAAATCAGTTTCCAGCTTTTGCTTTTCGATTCTATACTTATCAATTCTCACATGGAGGTTCTCCATCGGATTGACATTGTAGCATCTGCCACGGGCCATTTACTATGAATCTGGAATCAACATCATCTTAGTATGACAACCAAGTTCAGGATTAATTCGAGCTGTATCCTTCCCGTACCATTGTACGGCTGTGAAACATGGACACTACGCCACACAGACTGGACAAAGCTGGAGGCTTTCCACACAAAAATGTCAACGTCATATATTGGGCATAAAGTGGAACGACTTCATCTATAATGCAGATGTTTATGGTTGTTCGGGTCTACAGACTACTGGGGCCATTGTCTGCAGGTTGCGCCTCACGCTCTTTGGGCATCCACAAGGATGCCACAAGACGTTCCAGCAAATGCCATTCTCCGGGTGGCTTGTAACATCCAGGATGAAATTCCACCAACTGAGGTGTGGAGGTGGCCCAGAGGCAGACCCCCTATTACATGGCTTCATCAAGTCTGTTCCGATATTGGACTCTCAGGTCGTCAGGCCTTCATGGTTGCACAGGAATGGACCAAATGGCGAATGATCACTACTGCCGACTATCTGGCTAAGCATTGAAGAAGAAGGACGGACTCCACAACCTCCCTTGGAAGCCTATTCCATAACTTAACTACCTTTATAGTTAGAAAGATTTTCCTAATATCTAATCTAAATCTCTCTTTCTGCAGATTAAGCCTATTATTTCTAGCCCTACCTTCAGCGGGCTGAAGAACAACTGATCACCATTCTCTTTATAACAGCCCTTAACACATTGGAAGACTTATCAGGTCACCCCTCAGTTTTCTTTTCTCAAGACTAACCATGCCCACTTCAATCTTTCCTCATTGGTCAGGTATTCTAAATCCTTTATCATTTTTGTTGCTCTCCTCTGGATTTGTCCACATCCTTCCTAAATAGTGGTGCCCAGAATTGGACACAGTACATCAGCTTGGATATCACCAGTGACAAGTAGAGTAGGACAGTTACCTCCTGTGTCTTTCATACAACACTCCCATTAATACACCCCAGAATCATATAAACCTTTTTTGCAGCTGCATCACATAAGTCATATTCAGTTTGTGATCCACTATAATCCCCAGATCCTTTTTAGCAGTATTACCACAAAGACAGTTACTCCCCATTTTGTAGTTGTGCCTTTATTTTTTCCTTCCTCAATGAAGTACTTTGCACTTGTCTTTATTGAATTTCATCTCATTGAATTCAGACCAATTCTGCAATTGTCAAGGTCATTTTGAATTTTAAACATGTCCTCCAAAGTGCTCACAACTCCTTCCAGCTTGATGCTATCTTCACATTTTATAAGCAAACTCTTTACTCCATTATCCAAGTCATTAACAAAAATATGAAACTACTACATCCAGGACTAACCCCTGCAGGACCCCACTAGATATGCCTTCCCAATTTGACAGTAAACTATCAATAACTATTCTCTGAGTACAGTGTTTCAACCAGTTGTGCACCCACATTATAGTAAAGGTTCTCAAAGATAATTGCTAATGGGTCCGGGATTTCTTCACCTAGTTCTTTAAGTTCCCTATGATGAATTTCATTAGGCCCTGCTGACTTGAATACATGTAACTTATCTAAATATTCTTTAACTGGTTCTTTCCATATTTTTGATTGCATTCCTTCCCCCTGGTTGTCAACATTAATTGT